TCCCGGAATTCCAATTTGTTTCTGACTGGGTTCGCTCGATATCTGGGTCCTTCAAAGATGTTGCAGACTGGATTGCCGAGATTTCAATTTGGGAAAATCTTGGCTTTGGACATCTCAGTTCGGTTCGCAATACTTGGTTCTGGGAGAATGTCGTAGATTGGTTTCTGTGGCAGTGGTGTATACAGACCATCTTGGGCTATTCCCTTCTCGCTTTGACCCTTCCCATATCCGTAAGTCATAATCATATTCTCTCATCACTTCAGAATTGATACCTTGACACTGATAACAACACAGATTGCTACTTTGATGGCTACAGTCGAATGGCTCTACTGCTTCGTCACCAAATCTACAACGCCCACTCGTGGTGAAGCCGCAATCTCTATTTTCATGTCTTTGGTTTGGTCCATCTTGGGTACCGTTGTAGGATACGTGGAACTGGTAAGTGCTGTGAAGAGGATCCATTCTTGGAGTACCATTGCTTTTATTCCAGTGGCTCTTTACCAAACTTTTGATATTTCACTAACACTATCTAGATTACAGGTACCATCTCTAGCATTTTCAGATTATTCACGAGCCCGCTCAAGAAGTGGAGGGAAAAGCGTTGGGTTATACTCGTCAAATACTTGGAGGCCGGGATCAATGTTACAGACAATGCCTACCAGCTACTGATTGAACCTACCCTCAACCTTGTCAAAAATATTTTTCAAGCAACAGGAGGTACAATCCGCCGAGGTTTCAGCTTTGCCATCGGCCCATTCCAAAGGTATATCGATGGAGTTTGGACTACTATCACCTCAGTACTCGAGCCTGCTTACAGCCTTATTGCCGATCTCTTTCAATGGATCGCTTATCTTTACAGATCGGCCGAGGCTTTTGTTCCGTCAGCAATTATGAATGTTGTATATCGGACCTTAGACAGATTCGCCTTGCTCAAATATCGACTTCAGATCCCTGGGATTCCTTACAGGACCAAAGTATACGACGTTTTCAAGACAACAGTCCTCGGCACCGTCATCCCGCTCATCACATGGGCTCTAATAACGATCTGGATACTTGTATTGCTGCGGATCGAATCTTTGAGAGCGCGTGTATTTGTCTTCTTGTTGGTAGCCAGAGTATTGGACGAACGATTCTTCGTCGTAATTCAATTCCGCCGGAATTTACTGCCGCCCGAGAACGCCACTCCGGAGGAGCTGGAAATACTGAATCTCTACCGATCAGATGCATTGGCTAGGCATGATGTAGTCCTCTTCTTCCTGGTATGGTTTGGGACCGCATTCCTCCTTACGATGAACGAAGCGCTCGCTGGACCGTTCCTCGACAAGTTCTCCGAGACTTTGTTTGACGTTGGATGGTGTCAGAAATACCTGGAAGACACCTCAGCAACAGTCATTTCCGCCAGCTTGACAATTTCCGTCTACCTATTTACCACCTTGGATTTTTACACCGTCAATGGAAGGCTACTGCACATGTCCCTACCTGGATTTAGTAAGTGGGGTAAAGAAACCTTCGCTGAAGGCTATAAGACGCTCAAAGCCTTTTTTCAATTCTCAAAAGATCGCATCTTGCAACCATTCTGGGCGAAAATCGTAGCGGCGGGTGCGAGTATTCGGGAACTGTTAGTGCCAGAGGGAGTTGTCGAACCACTTGTGGCTCCGGTGGACGACCTTACCTCGATTCCACTTCCTCAAACCCCAATACAAGCCGAGGCAAACGGAAAACAGTTTAGTCAGGGGGTGTATCAGAAACTCGAGCGTTTTGGTGCGCTGTGTCTCCCGATAGTTGCCTTTCCTTTCATACTCGCTCATGATTTCATCCTCATACCGCTCTTGGGAATGGTCGTAAAATTCTTGGACTTCTTTCTAGCGAATGATCAAGATCCAAAAAATCTCCTGGAATCACCGACAGGAAGCTCAGGCAGAGGTTTGAATAGCGAAGACGGAGGCAGCGGAGGAATTGGAGGAGATGGCGAATCGAGCGCGGGAAGGTCTCCTTCCACAGATGAGGATCCAAACCCGAATAGCGCAACTCCAAGTAGCCCCGGAAGTAGACGTTCGAGGACAGACGAGGGAGAGCCGCATACCTCAACCTCGGATTACTCTGGGAGCGATAGGTCTGAAAGAGGCGAGCCTGTTCTTTTGGCAGATCTTAGTCCACCGAAGAAAATAATGGGGATGTTGGAACCAGACGAAGAAGACGTTTGGGCAAATTATGTTCGTGAGGAAGAACCTCTGGAGGAAACAGAACAGCTAGTCGAAATAAAATCAAAAAGGTTATCGGATATAGAGGAAAAGGACTCAGTACGCTCAGGTTCTGTGGACCATGGACACGTGCCTCTCTCCCCAAGAACGGAAGAGAAAGCCACACATCAGACCTCACAGTCGGCCATAGATGCACACCAAGCAGCTAGAGCCGGGTCGCATCCTGCAGCCCCCAAGCCTACCTCAATACCACCGCCGAAAAAAACACAACGTCAAAAGTACTTCGAGGAGAGAGCTGCTCGACAGCTCAAAGAAAAAGAGGCGGCAAATATCGCCAAGAACCAAGAAGTACAAACCCCTGCTGATAAATCTCGATCGCCTTCACAGCCCTCAAAGAAAGATAAAACTCCACCGCAATCTCCAAAGAAAGACGCAAAGGTTCATTTTGATACTGCAGTTGAAGAGGAGATACCAAATCCAATTCAATTTTCATTCTCCCCAGAAACCGCAATAGACGCAACTCTTCCCCAAATGCGTCAGGGCGAAGAAGAGAAGCAACCATCACCTACCAATTAGCAACCACCGTCGTCGTCCGCCGCAACTACAGGAGCCGCAATTTTGATGTTCTCCAACCTCCCTGTGGCCTTTGGTTATATCGGAGACGACGCGGCGACTTGTGGAGGATGCTGGGGCATGTTAATAGCGTGGACGTTATTCCTTGGTTTGCTTCTGATTGTAAATCTTGCTCGTCCTCAACTGCAGCGTAACTGTGTTGAGAAGGATGCGCAGATTGCTAGATTAAGGAGAGAGGTGGTACGACTTTTGGCTTTTCCAGATGCAAGACAACCGAATCGGGAATTTGAGGGTGAAAATGTAGAGCTCAAAGATAAGCTTGAGGAGGCGAGAGAAGCAACATCAGATCCTTGTGCCGAGCAAAAGAGACGGGCTACTATTGCTGCTGCAGAAGCTGCACGTTCGCGGCAGCGCGAGAAACAGAATCATAGTGATCTGAACGAGATCTTTGATGTTGCGCTGCAGGTGGGTAATGCGATTAGACCCACTCAATCAAAGCCAACACCTAGACCTACGGCAGGTGATATCGTCGACGCGCTGTGGGTTCTCCAGGCAACGTGGCTGGAAAATCTTCAGCTCCGAAAGAGTGCTGCTAGTATACCTAAAGATACGAAGGATCTCCTCGGAGTCCGGACGCAGCTCGAGGCTCTAAATGCCCAAGCACGAAAAGCTACAATGAAGCTTGCTGATAATCTTGACTATTCATCAAAAGGACTATCGGTTGCAGAGTTCATCGATTCATCCACGGCAGAGATTGAAAGGCTTCAGCAGCTGATTTATGATAAGCATGAGACACAAGGGCAGCAGATCTTTGAGCAATTAAGGAGGCAGCTCGATAATGTGCTACACGAGAACGCAATTCTTCATGAAGAAGTCCAAGTACTTTGGTATGGAGAAGATGCTAAAGTTTGGTATCCAAAGCCACCTCATGATCCTCCTACTGAAGATATAGAGATGACTGTCGACTACGAGGATGGAGACGCAGAAATGGAAAGATCAAGTCCATCCTTTCCGTCTGGCGCCTTTCCTTACACCTGGGCCGAAGATATCAGTGGCTCATCTGCTTTTGGTGCTGGCGAATCATCTTCATCAAACCCCCAGACTCCTCCCATAGGTACAGATACTGCAATAAGGCCAAAGAGGTGGTTCAAAAAGAGTGTTTTCAGACCATCAACTCCACCACTTCTGCCCAAGGTTGAGACATGGTGGGGCATAGGAAGCCAAGTAGAATTGAAACCAACGCCTGCAACTGCAGCAAGTCCTGGCGACAGTTCCATACCAACATACAACTTCCACTGGGGTCCAGACTCAATACCTTCCACCGAATTAGCGATGGGAATCGTAAGGGAAAGGCAGCTAAAGAACGATCTCGAGAACGCTGGCATCGAATATCCCGCCTGGTCTACCGAAGATCTTCCAAGAAATAACTCCACTAGTATCATGCTTCAGAGCTTTGCGCAAGACCTCCACGTCTCAAAACTAGAAAAGGTGTATCTCGAAAAGAGTATTCCATTACCACCTAGGCCGCAACTTGAACTATGGACCGAAAGACAGCCGTCCCAAGGTCCGGCTGAATTTTATCCAAATGGAGAGTCACCGTGGGACGATCGAACCGCTACGGAGGTTGCTAGGATTGAGCAGTATCGAGATGTGTATGAGCAACAGGGAGCAATATACCCGCCGTTCGTGCCAGAGCCCTTGCCAGCGTTTCCAAATGGCGAGGGACGTATGGAGGGAACGTATTGGAACTATCTTCAGATACGAACTCATCACATGTTGCTGATTAACGACTTCATTAGGTATGAGAAGCTCAACGGCAGAGGTCTTGGCTCAAGACCTAAAAGATCACCAGCCCCAGAGAAGGGTAAAGGAAGCCTAACGCTGAAACGACGAGGTATCACCATATAAGGTCGAGGGAGTTCGGAGGCTGCAACTAACGAACGAATCTTCCAAGTGTTTGCACTCCGAGGGGTAAAATAGTGAACCGTTCAAAACTGCAAAAGTCGTATGGGAAGAATATGAAACGATTTTTGGAGAACTTCTCCTATGGCTCAGGAAACGTACGCAGAGTCTCAGAAGACTGAATCGGTGCTGAAAACAATGGCTGAGAAGATGTCTGCATAACTGGAAGAGGAATAGTGAAAGGCCAGAAATTGGCCCACCTGCCATGAAGGTATCTTATTGTTACATAGCCGCAGCCGGACTCTTAATGAACAGAATAGAAATCTAGCTGATTATGCGATCTCCATCCGGTCCCGTCTCATCTTTAGCCAGGTCATGCTCCTTCAATAACGCATTGATTTCCTCCGCGCTCCACAAGTGATGGTAAATCTTTCCATCCTTCGTCTTTCCTACTGTAGCAAACTCAACTATGTAACATTAGCAGCTGCCAGTCAAAGTGGTGAATTTGCTTACTCTTCTCACTGCTCAACTTTGTAGAATCCATCGTCTTGCTCAAAACCTTGACAGCCATACCACACGCCTCCTTCAAATCGCAATCTTCCTTATAATCCTGCTTCAACAGACTTTGCGCACTGGCATTGTTTGCACCAACACTTGTCGCCTTCCATCCACCATAGTTGCCGCTAGGATTGCTCTGGTAGAGTTGGAATTGTCTCTGGGGATCGTAGCCGGCGTAAATGAACGATACACCAAAGGGGCGTAGACCACCGTGCTGCGTGTAACCTTGCTTGAGATCGCATAATCTACGGACGAGCTGCTCGCAGGGGATATCTTCGTTGTAGGTGAGGAGGTAGCGTTGGGCGGCTTGGCGGGCGTAGTTGATGAGGATATTGGCGTCTGCGGTCATTCCTGCTACTGCGCAGATCATGTTGCTGATAAACTATTAGCTTCAAATCCTCTGATCATAGGTGGCTGACACACTCGTTCAAGATGTACAGCTTCTCTGCGGATGTATCCTGCTCCAGGAGCTTGCTGGTGACCTTTCTCTCTGCTGCCAATACAATTCCATCCTTTGCTAATATGCCCAGTGCGGTACCAGCGTGGGAGATGGCCTCGAGGGCATATTCGACTTGGTAGAGACGTCCTTCTGGGGAGAAGATAGTCGTCTGTATGGCATTAGCAACTGTGGATCTGGAGCTGTTAACAGTCTGAGCTTACTCTGGAATCGTATCTTCTAGACATCTTGAGGACTGGTGATAAATTGTCCTAGGGGTTCGTAAGGCGGATAGAGAAGGGGGCTTATCTCTCTGATCCTTTCAATGTGGTGTTGAGGTAGAAAGCAGCTTGTATTGGGTTTCTTGCACCTATGAAGCTCCAAAAGCTCCAGGCGACGACAACCGCGTACGCGCTAGTGACCCTTGTTGACTTACATAATCACAGCCTCGATATTTACTTGGCCAAATATTTTGCGCTTTGCGCATCTATAGCTTTAATTACAATGCGAATGCAATGCGAATACAATGTTGAAGTCTACACATAAAGTCACGGCGCCTCCTCCTTTGCCGGAAGGATGGACTGAACATAAAGCACCGGCCGGGCATACCTATTATTACAACGCTTCTCTACAAAAATCGACATATACACGACCTGCAGCACCACCTACTCCCGCTGCCCCTCCTCCTATAGACCCAACTCAAAGTTTCTTGCAATACCAAGCTGTTGGAAATTCAAACCCAAGTGCTGGACCGAATTTCAATAACTTTTCCCCGCAAGGACAATTCCCAGGTGGGGGTGGGCGTGGAGGATTTCAAGGTAGGGGTAGGGGTGGACACGACAGACCTCCCAGACCACAGCCTACAGACAAGCCGAAGTCGCGGCATCCAATTCCTGAATGTGAGCCCTGGGTGTTGGTGCATACCAAACTTGGCCGAAGATTTGTCTACAATACCGAGAAGGACCAGAGTTATTGGCGCATACCTGATAAATTGAAGGATGGGATATTGGCGTTGGATCAGTTGAGAATTAAGGAGAAGGCAGAAGCTTGGGCGAAGGAGAAAGAACCTGTTGATTCAGGAGAAGCTCCCGGTGCTACTGTGCGGCCTCCTGTGGCTGCTCCTGAACCTGCACAAGGCAATGGAGGGGAAGTAGAGGATAGTTCCGAGTATGAAGAGGTGGAGGTAACAGACGATGAAGACGAAGATGGGAATCCTTCCAAACGGCAAAAGACTGAAGAGCAGGACCCGGACGCGCCAGTCGAATTTAACGAGGATGATATTGCGTTCCAGCTAGCCGCAATGGGCCAAGAATATGGATTGGAACCTGGAGAATACGACGATGGTAACATGGAGGAATGGGAAGAAGGTGCAGAGGGTCTGGAAATTACGCATGAGGACTCGGCTGCCTTATTCAAGGATTTATTAAACGATTTCGGAATCAATCCTTACAGTCCATGGGAGAAATTGATTGAAGAGGGGAAGCTTGTAGACGATATCCGGTATACAGCTCTGAACACCATGAAGTTGAGGAAGGAAGTTTGGGAGGAGTGGTCGCGAGAAAAGATCAAGGTTTTGCGAGAGCTCCGTGCGAAGGAAGAGAGAAGAGATCCGAGGATACCGTACCTTGCCTTCCTTCAAAGACAAGCGAACCCGAAACTATACTGGCCTGAGTTTAAGCGGAAATACAGAAAGGAAACCGAGATGAAGGATACAGCTTTGGCAGACAAGGATCGTGAGAAGTTCTATAGAGACCATATTAACCGACTCAAGCTTCCGCAGTCAACTCTCAAGTCCGACTTGTTAAACCTGCTCAAGGATCAGCCTACCTCAGTACTAAACAATGCGACTCTATCTTCGCATCTACCACCTTCCATTCTTGCGGACATCAAGTACATTTCTATTGAACCGACCGCAAGAGACGCTCTGGTCGAGACCTACATCTCGACCCTACCGCCACCACCCGAATCAATACCCGAAGAAGAGACCGAGGAAGGCATCAAAGAGAGAAAGGAACGAGAAAGGAGACAAAAGGCTCTGGAAGACCGTGAACGACATGTTGCGGAAGAAAAACGACGGCAGAAGAGGAATCTAGAATTCGGCAAAGGCAGGTTACGGGAAGAGGAGCAGGAAATTGCTAGGGCGATGAACGTCACGAAGAAAGGGCTTAAAGATCACCTCATGGGAGAGGAAGGTGCAGATAAAACTGCTTGAAATGTCACCGACCGGTTGTATTTGGCAGTCAACGATGCAGGCAACAGCCTAGAGAATCCAATACAGTGATACAAGTAATAAGCCCAATTATAACTTCCAAGCTCTCTAGTCCAGCATCTTAAAGTTATCGCAGTACATGTCGGGGCAACATCTCACGAAACTTGGCGGACATATCTCCGGAATAGCAAGAAGCAGAACTGCCTGCAGTATTTTATATTCTCCCTCCCACCCAACCTCCTACACAATTCACTCTACCGTATGCCGCTCTACTTTCAACATAGAGGGATATAAAATGCCTAACCCTCTTTTCTTCTTCTTTGAATCCAAAAGTCAAACAATCTATGTCCTCTGCAAATATTGCTCTTCCTCTTCCTCTGTACGCTTATATGTGTTATGTCTAATAGGATTCTTGGACTTGGAACATCTCTTTAGACTTTACATTCGGATGACATGTAAAATAATATGAAAGTTGTCAAATGAACGAATGAAGGTTTTCCTTAACAGCAAATTTATCTTTCAAATAATTAAACATTCATGCGACCTCCCCAGCCATATGTGTCCTCATAGAACCAAGTATAATAACACCTCAAACCACACAAGCACGACCTAAACAAAGTAAACGCAGTCTAAAACCGCACTACCCACATCTCAACCTTCCTACAGTGTACCATGGCATAAATCTTTGGTTCTAGTAGGATAGGGAGTACGTATGCAGAAGCAGATATAAGTTTGATACCCTCGCCTCCCCACCTCACTTACTGTCAGCTTTGCCAGTAAGCCGAGCTCTCAACCCGTTCTTACCCCCTAACCTAATCCCTAAAAACAGCACATTCGTTCAGCTAACGTTCACTGAATCTTCACACCGCTAGAGTTTAGATTATAGAGGATCTCCTCGCAGTATTCTCCCCTCTCTTTATTTCCCTCTACCTCCACCTCTCCTCTTCCTCGCTACCTACCCATCTATTAAGCTAAGAAGCCTTGCTGATACCTAGCCAAGTCCCCCAATCCACATCCCACTCTCAAATCTCACTCCTCACTCTTCTTCTCACCCTCACTCGCATCACATCATCTACAAACAAATCCGTAAATCCTAATTCAAATCAAAAATGGTATCTTCATTCAAATCTCCCTCGCTTGCTTGCATAAACACCGAAATCTACTTTCCCCAAAAAAGCAAGCTTTGCTTTACTGAAAAGCCTGCTAGTTCATTCCTAAATACACCATATCCACTCCCCTCCCCTGCACCCAAGGAAAATAGATTACAATTGCTGGTTCGCTCGCTCGCTTGCTGTCTGTCATCAAGTCGTTACCTCCCTCTCTACCCAAGGATCCCATCACATCCGCAATATACAATCAATCCCCATCTACATCCAGTCCAATTCGGTATCATGCTCGCACCAGGCTCGCAACTAACTCCTTCTATAACCCGGACTATCCATCCCCCCGAACCCACTCGGACTAGGACTTCCCCGCTGATTATACGGTGCTGGACTAGCTAGCCTCGCTGGTCCCTGACCCTGACTGGTACCGGGTCTTTGCGGAACAGGAGCATTGAAATAATCGCCTTGTTGCGGTGCGCCTAAGCCCGGATCCGTCATATTTCTGTATTGTTGTCGTGGTTGTTGCGGTTGTTGCGGCTGCTGTCCTTGAGGATTGGACGTCGGTGCAGGACGCATATTGGGGTTGTAGGCTTGGTAGCCATTTGTTGGTGTACTTGGAGCTGGACTGTTGCGGCCTGGTGCTGGACTGTTGCGGCCAAAGTCTGAGAGCGGGGCGGGGGAAGATCGATCATTACTATTCGAGTAAGGGTCAAAAGGTGTCCGTCTGCCCATTGAAGGTGCTGGGCCGACTGGTGTGTTGGATCGTAGATCGCCGACCGCTCGAGGTACTGGGCGGCCGAACGTATCGTTACTAGCTAGACTTTGGGGAGTCCCTCTTCCATCCATATACGACATTGGGCTTTGTGTGTATGCTCTGTCACCCATTGCGGTAGGCATCCGTGGGGGTGGGAAACCATTGTTGTTGTCTTCATATGAGACAGGACTTTGCGTATAACCTCTGTCACCCATTGCACTTGGCATTCTGGGACCTGGTGCTGGCCCACGGTATTGACCATTATTTGTATTTCCCGTCATAGTCCGTTGAGGAGCAAATCCACTCGTCTCAATGGATCGTAGTGAAGGAGCTGGTGAGCCTGATCGTCCATATCCCATATCAGAAGCATTGCCCATCAGAGGCGCATTGGAAGCAGTCGACGAATTAGTAACACTACGACCGTTGAAAGGTCGCTTCTGGCCCAGTTCATCCAATTCGAAAGCCGGCATGGGAGGTTGATCACTTGGTGTACCTGGTCGAGAAGTGTACATTGGAAGAGTCGTCATGGTATCGTTGCGACTCAAAATCGGCATCTGAGGTAGCTTGTCGTCGGACTTTTGATCGTATAACACAGGTAAAGTAGCTTGACGTCCACCTGCTGGTTTCTCCCCCTTCTTGACAGATTTAGCATCTGCTTTTAATCGTCTTTCCTCATCCTTGGCGATTGCTTTGTTGACCTTGACTGATACAATCCTTGACAATCGCTTGTCGACCTTGCGCTGACAGTATCCAGACAAACCACCATCTGCGTTCGGTATCCAATGCCATAGAAAAAATACGTAGAAAAGAGTGGCCAAAATGAGTGAAAGAGCTCCAAATATCCAAATAACCATGGTGAAGACCATGCCAGAAAGAACAAGCGCTTGTTGATTGGACTCTTTGGCTAGAAGGGCGATATTTTTGAAGAAGGTGGTAAGGAATGATCCCACATCTTTGGCATCATTCGCCTCGAGCTTCGCAGTGTAGACGGAGTATAAGGTTAAAGCATTCATGACCTGTCTGGGTCCTTGACAGAAGATGATTCGAATCCAGGCTGGGAATGTCAGAATTGTTATTGCAGATAGCAAGAGAACATACCTTGGAAGGAGAAATATGTAAAAAGGGCAACATATTCCGCGCCCTTCTTCGACTTGGTCAATTCTGCAAAGACCAAGAAGCGCCTGTACCCCCGTCCCTTTCCAAGTCTGATACTCTGGATTCGGACAGCCAAAGAATCCAAATAACTCTCTGCGACGGCACCCCTCTTCATGACACGCATCGCTCGGAGATGTTCATAAGCCAGATTGACCCACGATGCAATAATACACGACGCGAAGATCCATTTCGATATGGAAAAGGGGACTTTGGGTTGGATTTCTCCTGACCATTTGTTGAATGCGAGGAGATTGACGGCTGTAAAGGTATCGACACCGTAGACAGCAACGGAGATGAGGAGGGATATCCAGAGGTAACCGTATGCGAGATATGCGAAGCAACTTGTAGTTTTGAAATCATTTAAACTCTACAATAATCAATTAGTTCTGGCATCGCATTAGGATGGCAGACGTACTATGAAATCCCATTTCTGTTCGGCTTTGAGGTCGGCCTCCTTGACTCTACCTGAACAAAGCATTGTGAAAGAAATGGAAAGGAAACGGTATTAAACAGATAATATCTGAGATCTGGTCCTGCCAGAGTCGAGAAGAGCACCTGGCTGAATGAACGTGTGGATGGGCTCGAAGGAATGAAGGTGGCCGGGTATTGGTATGCAATGATTGTGGTTGTGATTGAGATTGGGGTTGACGTTGGTCGTGATTCAATCAGCACTTGTCGTTGTCCGCCTGCGGTATATTGACTGTGCGATTGAAGTTGGAGATGTTGTACCTATCCACGTTGGAAGGAGTGAGGAAGACGAGGGGGCTTTAGTCGGGATGAGCGAAGGATTGTGGTGGGACTTGGTACAAGAATAGCAAGCGAATCGCTATTGTTGAACTCTTGAGAGCATTCTTTCTCCTGAAGCTATTCTATAGATTCAATCCGACCGATTACAAGAAAATGATTGTAGGAAGTATTCTATTGCATTGTTGATAGAGGAAGTATTGTGGTCCAATCCAATACCGGGCCGAGAGTGTTTGCAGGATCCAGTAGGTTGTGTCGTTCGTTGCTTCTCTTGTGCTGGTTTGATCGCTCAGGCCGTCTTGTCGCAGGATCACCGATCGGGCACGAGAGTCGCAGGAAGGGAATGTTGCCGCAGGATCACTTCGATTCAATGCTGTGGGTAGACTTCGGATGATTGTTGGCTGGAGTGACAGATATAAACTTCCTAAAGGAGCGTTGAAGTCGTACTGTAAATGTCGATAGGGCGGTGCGAGAGGATTGTAGAGGAGAAGAGTTTCGTTGGATGTTCATCGCAATCAATCGCAAGCCTCGAGCCTCTCAATCTCTCCATACTGGATCTCTCCCTCCGTCTCCACCCGCGGCTATATAACTCACTCTCATTCGTTCCTCACTGCCCTCGTGCCTGACTAACGAATCCTCCCCATGGCGCCTTCCCCAATGGATGTGGATAAACGGACACGGCCACGGCAGTAAAGTAACGGTTCATTTCAAGCCTCGCTCTCGCTCCACTTCTCGACCAATGCAGAAGAATCAGGGGTCCTTTCGTCTCACCCTTGTCGCATGTTTATCTCTAAACCCACTTCACTACATTTATTGGCTGCTTAAGTTATGTTTGCACAAGTCGAACCAATCATCATTAATCGCCCCTGTTTTTCGAAACATGAGCATGATCATGTGACTGCCTTAAATAGATTTCTCACAAGGCGTCAAACGTTTTCGTTCTCTCTCTCTCTCTCTGAATATTCCGCAAACAGATGATCATGCTTTGGATGCTCCCTGAAGACCATGATTGAAATAAAAGTCGACCCAGTTCCGACTTCTAGATTGCACTTTCTCTTCTTAAGGGTTAGGTTTCGCAAATTGTCCAGTACCAAACTTAATATAACGGTAGCTGTTTTGTAACCCAATTATGGCCTGATGTATATATGTAACTTTTTTCGTGACTGCACCAACCTGGTAAACAAGAATTCAAACTTGAAGAATATGTGATGGGTTGAAAGGTCCTCAATTGTTGTTCACCTTAAGCCCGTCATCCCAATTTGTGTCCCCCTGCCCTATAGGAGTGGTGATCAAGTGAGTTGGAGTTGGATTCAATGAATGCCAATGTATGAACGAACGCTTTGCTATCAAACCCTTTACTGCTATTAATTCTCACGGCATTCACTCACTTCATCTCGACCGAGAGAGAAAATAGTCACGCAATACGTATTATGAGCCAGCCCCCCTTTTTCATATTTCTCCCTTGACGCCAACTTCCTCCTCTATGGCTCTCTATGACCGACACACAGTTTAGTGCGTCCTTCTTTCAAATGTTCCACGAGTAAATTCCATAACCGTATCTTGAGTATTTATCTATTTATACCTCCTGGGTCGGAATTCATAGCCTCACGCTATTACGAGCTATAGATTCATATGAAGCACTAAGCCTATTCGAGCACGCTAGACCTCCTCCAACACCCCCTACTAAGCAGTTATTGCATTATAGTGAATCCGATATCCTTTCACTTGAATTTACGAGATATTTTAATACAAGCTATAATAGTACTATTGCGTGGACCATACACCTAATGCCTTTGGCGTCAGATTTAGCGAGTCTGAGGCTATAAAAGAGCTTCGCTCTACGCAGTACCTTAGTGATCAGAACCATTCGCTCCCACAACTCCACTTCATGACGTCTTTCTAGTACTTATCTGCCCTTACATCCCAAATCTGCCCCTACTTACTAAATAGGTAGAAATTCTTAATCGATCATCTACCAGACAACGTTCTACAACACTTCCTCGACTTCCCCATGGCCCGGGACTCTCCCTTTTATATGGAAGATTCATTACTAGGAATGGATCATTTAAAATCGATCCCCCAGTTCTGGAAACCTCCATTGGCACCAAGAATGCCCCCTCTTTCCCACCACCAGCATCAACGGTAATATTCCAATCCATCAACACATCCTTCAATCCATCCACCACACCGACTGGATCATCATCGTGCGCCCTCGGCAAGCATTTGGGTTGCTACTGTAGGCCGGTAGCAGATCTTGGAGAATCAGGAGAAATTGAGAACGCTCATTCCCCAGGAAGCCGGAGCGAAATACTTATCATAGAGTTAGACACGCTAGAAAGTGATGAGTTCATCTACCGAGGAAGTTCTTTTCCTTTTCCTAGTAACTGCCTCAACGCAGCGACTTCGGCATACTGACCGCCGTCGAACTCGAGCCGTTTGACTTGTAGTAAAGAATTCTCGAGACATACGAGCTGCGAGACCAGCTCTCGATATTCTGACGTTGCTAAGCCGCTGCGCTGCAGAGCGTCGATGACGGTGCCGACGAGCTCGATGGCTGCGATGAAGTCGTCGACTGAGAATCCGAAGCCTACTGACATGCTAGGTGGATGGTCGGGTTGCTCTATCTAGGAAAAGGATGGGTTCGAGAGAAGATAGAGACCCAGTTACAAGAAATGCTCAGCCACATTATCGCCATGCACGTCGTCAAGGGGGGCGAATATGGGAGGGGTGAGGTATAGGAATAAATAGCGGGGTCTGGCTATCCAAGTGGAAGCCAATATATTACCGGCCAAGGAGGGGAGAAAGCAAGAAAGAAAAAGTATTGTAGAATAGCACCTGAATATCTTTTGACAACCCAAACGACATATCAAAAGGTCGTAATCGTTAGAACGTCTCAGGAACAACATATGTAAAATTGAATACAAAACCAATCAATCATATCTCTTACACCAACATCTATTTCACACCGACATCTACCCCGCCCCCACCCCCACAGTCGAAATCTAAGCCATAAACGCCCTAGCAGCCTTTCCGCCCTTCGCACCCTGAGCAGTAGCCGCACCAGCTCCTTTAGCTTTACCAGCAGCCGCATTACCAGCAGCAGCATTACCAGCAGCAGCATTTCCAGCTCCCTTAGCGGTAGCGCCATTTGCCGCGCCTTTACCAGTACCGGCACCGGCAGCGGCACCGGCTGCCCCCTTTGCACCAGTTCCGGACCCCTTGGCTTTACCGGTGCTGGCTGCTGCTGATGCAGCGGTGCTTACTGCTGCTATGGCTGCGGTGGCACTGGCTGTGCTGTCAATGTTGAGGAGGTTATCGACGGCCTGGGGGTGGTTTGTTAGTATTGCTTTCCCATTTTTCTCACTTGCAAGACGCGTAACGTATCTAAATGAGACAGAGGGGAAGAGAAAATGTACATACCAAAACACCCTGCTCCTGCTCTGTCCCGCTGGTGGCTTCCTGGTTCCCCGTAATCGCAGCCGGTAAATCTTTCTGGTTCTCTGCAACCTGCTCGTTGATGCCAGCGAGTGTTTGCGCGGTTTGGATGTTATCGGGTGTGTTGACGGCAGGGGTAACGTCTGTTTGTTGGACGGCGAAACAACCGCCAAAGGGACCATTGGCTGCGGCGTTGAAGCAGCGGACTGTGCAGATGTTTCCAGTGGAGGCTGGGGGTTGTATTAGCTGATATCTCTTTCATGTATGATGGCTGTATGAAGTGACGGAAAAGGAACACCAACCTCCGACGCAAGCTAGATCTGATGGCATAGTAAGTGCCAGTTTGATAGACCCCGTACTATCTGTCTCCTTGACCGTCACGTTCAGCTGTCCACTAACTCCGTCTGCGTTGGACGTCGGGTCCACATCACAAGTATATGGCCCCGCGCCATTCGCACCCCCTGGACTTATCGTCACATCAACATTTCCTCCCTTTGTGACACTCGTGACGGTCTTGTTAGCGAGTTGCGTTTCGGTGTTTTCCCCAATGTCAATGTTACCACTGAGTAAGGTGCGACCACACTCGTTGACGACGTTGCCGGCGATCTCGGCTTGGTTGATAACGTTTGCATCGGCCTGGTTGAGGAGGACTTGGAGGGGGAGCGAGGCTGGTGAGCCACTGCTGCCTTGCGCCGAGAGGATTACGCCTTGGGCGTGGACGAGAGCGAGGAGTGGGAGGAGGTGGATTAGAGAAGGCATATTGATTGAGATGAATGTGCACAGCACAAGAATGAATAGAATAATAATTAAAAACAACGAATGTAATCAGACCGGCTGGCAGGTAATTGAAAATGTAAACAGATGAGCGAGTGAGAAATAGATAGACTTCCCACTGGGGATGATGGACATCGGCAATCTTATAGAGATGCATTACCCGCGTAATCATCTGAATATTATTCCTAAACAATCTCAAACAGACACCAAAGCAGAATAAATGGGCCAATCAGTCTCACGATGATTTGCAACAGCTTCAGTCGCATGAGTGGGCCGATTGTGGATGCGCCAAGAAATAAACGCTAGGTTCGATAGGCCTGAAACAGACATGTGGATATCAACACCACACACAAGCTTCGAGCCTCAAACAATCATATTATCAGAATAGTCTTCAGGTACTCCTCGTTCATCATTTCTCCGTCCATTATGCCGTGAACATAACATTCTCCTACCAGCTGGCAAGTCCACCCTTCGACCGGACGAAGTATAAAGGGGGTTTGCGCGCCTCGAACCACGCATACCACATCCCCTTCCTTCGTACCCGCAGGAACAAGTGCCATCAATCCATTGTTTGTCACACATAATCTCCTATGCAATGAACATTGATTCATGGCAACGGCGTACGGTAGGAAAAAAGAGTCCAGTATTTGTTCCCGCACATCCTCAAACATCGCCGCCGGAAATTCGGCAGACAGAAGTTCTGTAATATCACCGAGGTCTTCTCCATTCAGGCGGCTTTTGAGAATCTGCTGAGTGACCTCAAGATTGTTTCCATGCTGTTGATAGATAGGTGGCGCAGGCCTTTCAGTTGGACATCTGTTCCCAATAAGAGTCCGCCAAAAAGCCTCCGGGAGAACCTCTCCAGTAAAGTACGGGTCAGTCGCCCATTTGGTCACAAGTTCAACCCCCTCTTGTCGCCATTTGATTGCATCAAGAAGACAGCTGGCAGTGTCTTGATTCACAAGGTCCATTTCCCAGGCAGGACTCAAGTGGGCAGCTTCTCCAAGGATGATTGCCTCGATTTCTATGCTGTCCGGAACCGAACCAAGACGCACATATGGAGAAGTCGTCCTGCCAGGCATCATCCCAAGTAACTTTTGTGATTCCACGGGGACGCCAGTCGCGGCTAGGATCAACTCGCTGCCTTCCGGACCATTGTACACGTAGGGGTCGGAGTGCTTTCCAGAGGCTCGATAACTGTATATTTCACCGGCGAGGTGATATGCAAGCGTGTATGCTGGCGGAATACAACTCCAATCTGGAGTCCACGAAGGGAGATTTTGCACTTCTGTGGGATAGCCGATTCCGGCAAAAGGTAGAATGTCCAGGGGTACACGAAAGGCAGAAGCCTCGCGGGTCAGCATATTTTGCGCTGTCTCGACAAACACATCCCGATCGGATTTGTCGTAATCAATTGCCGTTGGTAAAGATGGACAGATTCGCAATAAACCACCAAATAGAATTCGGTCCCGTTCAGCTTCGTGAGAAAGTCCCATTAGGGCAAATACCTTATCCTTTCGGTTTGTAGATTTGCACCTGGAGAAGCGAAATAGTAGGTCGAATAGTGATTGTTTGATTCCAGCTGTTCCTTCAATACTCCTCATGTTCTCTATTTGACGAAGGTGTATCATTTCCGATGGTAAAGACCTTCGTGCGAAAGTGGCCTCGGCGGTTGTGAGGGTTGTATATTCTTTCGACATCCAGGTGGAACAAAGCGCCTCTACAACACTATTTAATGATTGCCAATGTATTAGCTCAGGGCCATACATAACAGTGATTGCGGATGCAAAGACAGCCTCTTGTCTGACCCAGATTCTTTCAAACCACGGATGGTGGAGGAGATTTATAAGCGCGTGCCATTCGGGGTCGACGGTTTTGCTCTCTGGAAGAGCTCGTCTGAGCAGACGCTTAGCTGTTGTTAGAGGGGTAACAAGCTTAGCTATTAGCCCCCAAGGCACCGATGTTTGATGCTTGACCCAAAAACGCATCAGAGGACCCATGAAAGCAATCATCCTATCTTGAATACTCTCCGATGCAACGGATTGAAAGACTCGTGTTAGGAACTTGATTACTCGAATAATTGGGTGCACCACCCAAAATGGGGAAACTTCTCGCATCCCGTGTGATATTCTACGGACGAGGTTCATTGCCGCTGTCGCATCATCTGACTCCCCAAGCCATACAATAACATTGGACGCTCGGTGGTAGATCTCGCCCATCATCTGGATTTGGCCCACTTTCTCATGGTTGTCTGCTTGATTGATGCAAATGGCATCGATCCAGATATAACCGGTACCAAAAGGAAAATCCTTCAGTCGAGAGAGAAAATCCTGCACATTGGTGGTTACACCGAACCACGTACCGTCCATAAATATTGTACTGGCTGGCTTGCCATCACCCCATGTATACGAGAGGGCTTCATATGGGGGTAAGTCGTCCAACAGATATGGGACCAGACGGTAGGATACGAGGTTGTCAGAGGCTGATTTTTGCAGTTCAAGCAGACGGACATGCCTTTGACTGGGCAGCGGTTGATATTCATAGCGGGGAGGGCGTAGGAGTGATACTGGTGACTTTTCGAAAGAACCACCGCATCGTAGTTCTAGTAAGAAATCCAGAGATACACTTCCCAGCCCAGGGTTTCTGGCCATATTTTGAATCTTTTAATTTTGTTGTAAGGATCAACTCTAAAAACCGAGCTGAAAACAAGGGACGGCTGAACAGCTTGGCTTCACGTGACGAGTCCTACAGATCCACTCACCGATGCGCCATTTGGCTTGCGGTGGTGATGGAAACAATGTGATTACATGAGTCCAATAGGAGGCTCTTTAGGAGCTTTATCTTTGAATAACTTCAAGCATAGACGAAGAGCGTGTTGTGGGCTGAAAGATGTGAAGATTTAAGGGAAGGAGGGTAGGGTCTAGGCCGCTTTTACCAAGCCACTTGTATCTACACTTACACACTTACTTCATCCGACTTCCAACCTCAACTACCAACACTAGGTACTGTACCTGCAACATTGCAAGATATTGCGAGTCGCACTCTTCGCTTATCAAGTATCACGGCCATGGAAACCACGGCTCATAGAAACACCTATACGCCTCTAAATCGCGCATGTGCAAATTGTGCCCGAGCAAAGGCAAAATGCCTTCCGGACTCCGAGCCAGGAGGTAAATGTGCAAGGTATCAAACGTCTTATTCTCCTTATTTGGGAGCATCAGATGCTAACTGATGGAGATGCCAGCGTTTACAGAAACAATGTGAACCAATTCCAGTTCGGAGTCGTGCACTACCTCGGAAACGCAGAGTAATGGAGCCGAGGTACGGAATGCCCGGCATTATTTCTAACATATAACACACTGACAGCCTTTAAAGTCGGATTACAAAAAATCATGTTGAAAAACTTGAGGAAAAGTTGGACGGTCTCGTTAAACTTCTCAAAACAACTCGAGAAGCCGGAGCTGTCGGAAATCCGCGTCCATCTGTCAGTCATGTCGCGTTTGAAAGTCGGAGTCCAGAGGTCCAACCTCTGTCTACTCAAAGCACATCTCCTTTGAGCTCCGAAGCAACCGTAAGAGGATTTGGGTCTGGCTTGACACCGCATCATGATACCCATGCAGGCCAGAATTGCCTACCCCACCATTCCATCAGTCAATCAGCTGCAGAAACAGGACAGCGGTTTAGCAACCCCGTTTTATCCATCTGCAGCGAATTGGGCATCGACGACCAAGAAGCAAATCTCCTCTTGACAATATTTAGGGACGAGATGTGCCCGTCTTTCCCGTTCATTGTCATCCCTGACTCGGTATCAGCTCAAGACCTCTGTCGAGACAGACCGTTTCTATACCTCGCGGTCCTTGCTATTTCAACCCGTAAATCTCTACATCAACATGAACTGGGCAAATTTATCATTAAAGAACTTGCAGAAAGAATGCTCGTTAATGGAGAGCGGAGTATGGATCTACTGCTGGGAACTTTGACTTATGCTGGATGGTCCGTCTTCAAGATTTACTACAAGTGTTTATTTGCTAATTTTCTGCAAAACAGGTCTTACTATCATTTCTTCAATGTTCCGCAGTTGACCAGTCTGATATCTACAGCTCACACGTTGATATACGACCTCGGACTGAATAAGTCAACATTCAGAGAACCCCTGACCGTTTACCAACAAGCTATTCGCACTACCTGTGGAGCAAAATATCTTGCGATCCCTACAAGAACCATAGAAGAACAGAGAACACTACTAGGATGTTTCTATCTCAGTGCGGCGTAAGCATACTGTCCATTTGTTTTGCGATTGACTAACACAGACCGCACAGGGTGTCATTCTTTTTTCAGCGAAGCGACCCACTTCCTCATACACCGTACATAGACCAATGCTGCGATGACCTAGCTGATGTGAATGTCCACAAGAACGATCGTTTTGCAGTGGCTTTTATTAGACTGCAGACTGTCTCCGACAGGATAAATCAGGCTCCGTGGAATACTCCCAAAAGCTCCTTGGGATTATCATGCCCTCCTGTGCTGTTTGTAAAGGCACTGCAAAAACAACTTCAGACATTTGCAAAAGCTTCATCTAGCGAGATGTCTCAGAATGGTCAGAAGCTCAGTGCTTATCGTCTTCCCCTTCTTTAATTTACTAATACATGTCTCCCAGTTTATCTTCTCTTGACTTTCCACATGGCTGAAGTTTCCTTATTCAAGGCCGGACTTTCCAAATCGCCACATCTCCCCCCCTCGTCCGAACAGGACTTCGACCGACTACAACTCCTGCACGCATGTCTTCAGAGCCTCAAAACTTTCTTTGGCATTCTTCACGCTATACCCGTTTCGAATTACCATTGCAATACAGTCCCATTGCTTCAAAGTATGTGCCGTGGTCATGTCATTCTCCACCTTTTATGCTCTTTCGAACACCCAGATTGGGACCTAGACTATTGCAACCGCATACTCAGCTTCTCTGGTGTGTTGCTTACATTCGCTGACCTACTGGAAAAATCATCAAGTGCTCTTGGGTTTCAACCTCGCGGCAGCGATATATTTCTTGCCTGCGCAAAGACGATGCGCAGGGCTGAGGAATACTGTCGAGTGTCGGGATCAACAGATCAAGTGCCTGCTGATTTACCACAAACGTGTGAGGCTGAAATACCCGATTTAACCAACTCAGCCTTGGATGATTGGACGATGTATCTTGACGAAGTAATGTTACGTGATGTTATTGGTCCGTTTGGGACTCAGGGGTTTCCGTAAGGCGCGGGTCAATCGGGGATACCGGAATTCCCGCTGGGGACGGAGCGGGAAGCATATCCCGTTTCCGACCCCGTTGCCGACCCCGTTTCACGAATCAGATGCTTGTAAGCTCTGAGGAATTGATGAGGCACAGCTGGAGATTCACTATTTCCGAGATACGTAAATCTTCTACCTGGACATGACACGAATAATAAATACATGACTTTCCCACGTTGTCTCATGGCCAGAGAATACAGGAAATACTCGCAAGAAACAAGACCTTGCAGCATTGACGGTTCGGACACTACTTTGTACTTCGTAACTAATAGTCAAAATCTCAATGAATATGGAGAAGCGGGAAAGCTCCGAAACAGAAGTTGCTATTGGCAGCGATACCAATGAGCCTCATTACAAGCCTATCAACAAATCCATAAAGGAACCTTCATACGCCACGAAAGACGACCAAGGCTCGACGACTGGGGATAGTTCAAACCTACAGCCAACTCACACGAACGCTTCTGAAGATGGGTGGGAATACGTTACCGGGACGAAGCTATACCTAGTGATTGGAATGGTGACACTAGCATGTTTTATCATGTTGCTAGATACGTCGATTGTTGCAACTGTATGTTAGGCCTGGGACATTAAATCCAATTGAAAATTACTGACTTCGATAGGCTATTCCGAGCATCACGAGTGATTTCCATTCTCTCGGTGATGTCGGATGGTATGGAAGCAGCTATCTAATATGCAGGTAAGAACCGCCCATTCTGTTTCTGGTGTGCATTGGTTAACATGCAAATTCTAGCTGTGCATTACAGCCTTTGTCAGGAAAGATATATAGTAGATTCAGCTCAAAGGTAAGTCAAGTCTCCTGCGCGAATATATATACACTGAATGCTAATGTTTACCAGTGGGTTTTTATGTTTTTTCTCTTCGTTTTCGAATTAGGGTCCATGATCACTGCCCTCGCTACCTCATCAAATATGTTGATCGTTGGGCGAGCAGTTGCGGGAATGGGTGGCTCTGGTTTAGTTAATGGAGCGCTCACAATCATTGCAGCTTGTGTACCCTTACATAAGAGAGCCGGTATGATCTCCTCTTTCCATGATTTTGATATATTCTAATTCTGTCTAGCTTATCTTGGATTTATGATGTCTTGTAAGTAGATTTACCAAGTGAAATATAGAACAGATCTAACATCCGCAGTTGGTCAAATCGGTATCTTAGTTGGACCCCTAATTGGAGGAGCATTGACTCAGTATACAACTTGGCGATGGTGTACGTTTCTTCCCCAATCTACCTTCAAATATATTGCTAATATCTCCTAGGCTTCTGGATAAACCTCCCAGCAGGTGGAGTTACTGCCTTAATCCTCTTCTTCATCCATATCCCGAGTCGGATCGAGAAAATACCGTTCAGAAACAACATCAAGGCTACTTTAGTCTCTCTCGATCTCCCAGGCTTCTTCCTCTTCGCACCCACCGCCATCATGCTGCTCTTTGCACTTCAATGGGGCGGTATCAAATACGCCTGGGGTAGTGCTACCATCATCGGACTCTTTTGCGGATCTGCTGGCAATTTTGCGGTATTCTTGGCCTGGGAGTACAAGAAGGGTGATGATGCGATGATTCCATTCTCGATGATCAAGATACGTATTGTATGGTGCAGCTGCTTCATCATGTTGTTCTTCTTCGGGACACAAATCATCACGTCCTACTACCTCGCCTTGTACTTCCAAGCTGTCCGGGGCGTGACTCCAACGCTTAGCGGTGTTTACTTGCTACCAACTATTTTGAGTCAGATGCTATTAGCTATTATATCTGGAGTCTTGGGTTGGTTTATCCTTGTTGCTCTCCTTGGAATAGTACTAACAGTCATTAGTCGGCCGCCTTGGGTACTATATGCCTTGGGCTATAGCCAGTGCAGTCTTGTCGGCAATTGGCTCCGGTCTACTATCTACCTATACGCCTACCACATCAACAGGAACCTGGATCGGGTTTCAAATCATTGGTGCCGTCGGTCGAGGCTGCGGAATGCAAATGGTAACCATCTCCTGCCCTCATTGCTTACGCCCTAGCTAATATATTCTATCCAGCCCGTCATCGCCGTTCAAAACGCGACCCCCTCGAAACAAACCTCAATCGCCATGTCTATCGTAGCATTCTGCCAAACTCTCGGTGGTGCCATGTTCCTCTCCTTTGCGCAAACTGGTTTCAACACTGGTCTCAAAGATGCCCTCCACCAATACGCACCCGAAGTCAGCTCGCAAGCCGTTGCTGCCGCCGGTGCTACAGGATTTCGGCATATAATTCCTGAGGCCTCCGTACCTGGCGTCATTCACGCCTATAGCCAGGCTATCAACCATGTATTTTATATCGCGGCTGGCGCTGCTGCGGCTTCCTTTTTCGCTTCTTGGGGCATCGGATGGAAAAGTATCAAGAAGGCGAAGACTGTCAAGCCAGAAGCCTAATTGCTTTGTATTTGGTATTTTCCGAATTGTGTTGGAAAACCGAGTTTGGGGATCGCCGCGGAAGGAACACGGCGCTCTATTTAATAAAACATGAGTGTCACCACCCCACCACTTTTATTTTCACGCGTTGGAATGGGTTATACTTCTTGCATGTTGGCATTTTATTGGTTGGGAAAGGTCAAAATTCCACTCCAGTTTAGATATAGAAAATAGAAGACACCAATTCGTTGATCGCGCATTTGGACGGGCAAAAGAGACAACTATTGTCTTGGGATAACTCTTATATATTACTTCGATTTCCACCGTTTTCAGAATCAAAAGAGTAAGCAATTCCAGGAATACACAGTCTGCACAAGTGTGTACTCGCGGATCATTAAGATGCTCCCCCTGATATCTTTCGCCACCCAAGTATAGCATATTTGGCGCCTCGCCTAAGTACGAGGGCCCCTGAATTGGGACAACATAAGAAATGTCCAAACTTCATTTCTGCACATATTACTAGCCAAACCACAGAAGATTATTGGAGCCACACCAAGTTAAAACTCTCTAATCCAATCTATCAATTTATTTTCGCTTTTCACAAATTGGCAGACAGGTTCCCACACGTGACGCGGCCGTGAGGAGTACGCACCAAAAGTTATACACTAGAAAAGGTGCTAGCAAGAAGGTTTCTCCAGACGACAATCCGTGGTTAAATCAATAAAATCCAACCTTTTAGAAAGCTCGACCGTTCTATAAACTTGGATTTCTTGTATACTACGACCAGCAAGAGCTGAAATGGACTCACCCTGGAAAGCGGCGCCGCAGTACGGACCATCTTCAGCCTGCGAAGTAGCCCCACATAAGCCCTTGGACCCTGATGTTCGTAGCTCCAGTCCAGATACCCCCGCACAGCACGTCCATCCGTAGCTCAGCTCATCACTGGGTCGGCTGAGAGAGTGAGAGGCATTTATCCTTTTCAGCTTCGCTAACTTTGATCCTTACAATGTAGCAATTCGCCGCCGAGAGCTCGGAAGTCGTCAGGTTCACCCAGCTCCTGGCTTCTCTGCCCTATGACCCAGAAACATGGCTTAACCGCGGCAACTGTCTGCGTCTGCTCGGCTACCCAGAGCTGGCTCTAGGAGACGTCTATAAAGCCCGTCTTCTAGTCGAGGCTGGCTTGTTGCAATCGGATTCGCATTCGGATCCGCGCTCAGAACTTGGGAATGAAGTCCGCAAAGCGTTTCGTAAGAAGACGTATGAGCTGCATACCACTGATCCTGCGTGGGTGAGATTTGCAGACGCGGTAGCAACGCCAGAGTTGCTGGCGCGCAGAGTCGAGGAGATGCTGAAGAGGCTGGAGTTGCAGATCTGGACGGAATTGATGGAGGGGCTCATGGCAGCGAATTGCTGTGGTGATTACGTGCGCATGAGTCGTGAAGCGGTGGAGAAGTTTCCGGATGATGCGATTTTTCCCAGTGAGGTGTCGAATGCGGATTCTTGGTTTGCTCAACGGGAGACTATCTTGAAAGCGAGTATGGAGAGTGGGGAGATGAATGAGGAGCAGATGAAGGTTACTCTGAACAATGGAGGCGTCTATCCAACGCCGTATCCGTTCATGGAGGATGACTTCTTGATTAGGGATGAAGTCACATTTGCAGGTATCGAAGAGGATTTTCGGAGAGTATCGACAAATTGCATGGTGGTTCGGAGTACCATCCGTGACACGGTAGCTGAAGATGGCGGCGAGGCAACTACGGAAGCTGATTGCATCGGTGTGATTGCGACCCGGGATATAACTGCCGGTGAGACCATATTGGTAGACACGATGTCTTCTGGCACTGTTGGTGTAGATGCCGATCCAGATGGTTGCCCGACATGCTGCGCATGTCCAGTCAGGAATTTCTGGAATACTTGTTGTCCTGTCCTTTACTGCTCGCAAGGCTGCGCAGACATTGCAATGGAGACATTTCATAAGCCAATTTGCGGAAAGGATTTCCATTATCTCTACACTGCCGCAAGGAAAGCAACTGCTACTGCAGACTTTTCCATCGACGCTTTGTTGTTGCTAAGAGTCTTGGCACTTTGTCTTGAAGAAGGGGCAGATCATCCATTAAAGAGTACTCTCTTGGTGAGACTGACGCCAGCATATGGATTCAAGCAGCCCAACCTCATAATCTTCAACTTCGAAGACCATATCCAGACACCAATAAAGATCCTCCAAACACTCGGCGTCAACATCTTCACCAACCCATTATACGATACCTGGGTCCTCCACACCATGAAATGCAGAATACAAAATAACAAACACGGGCAAACGCTGGAAGACTGGCCCGGAACGAGTATCAGCGGATTATATAGCATGTTGAATCACTGCTGTAGTCCGAATGTAGATTGGAGACATGATTTCGGAAGTAGCGAGGTCACCATGTTCGCAACGCGGGACTGCAAGAAGGGGGAAGATCTGTGCATCAGCTATATCGGCCCCCAGGGGAATGCTATGAGTGTTGTTGATCGACGGAAGAAGTTGATGGGCTGGTTCGGCATGCCATGTAGGTGTGTTAAGTGTGTTGAGGATGCAGCTGTTCAGGAGGACTTGGACACTACTCTCACTGCTCAGACCTCGAATTTAACTTGCTGATTTGCCTGTGCAGTCAAGGTTGCTTGGATAGCGACTCGTCATAGTCTCAATCAATTTCTGCCTTGGTTGAGATCAGACCTCTGGGCTAAATGAAATCGCTATAGGATGAAATCGATCCCTAGCGTGAAGGAGATTCTCTGTTACACTCTCTTCGCATAATAGCCTCGGATCCGAAGCCTTAATCCCCTTGTCCTTTCCCATCAAAAAGATTTCATAACCCAAGCGCAACATGACAAGCCCCTATCGTAAAGTTACGTCCTCCAAAAGATCGTGTCTTACATTTCCTTAGTACGCATAAAAGTTATTAGCTTCAGATTCCGTTGCCCTGATTTTCTTGTTCTGTCGTATCAAAATGAACTTCATAATCCAAGCGCAAATAACAACCCCAGCCGAGAACCCAATACTGGCAGCCATGGCTGTTCCAAAACGCGGGGCGTCCGAGTCTGGCCACAGGTACGGCGTGTACACACTAGCAACATTGCCAATGCAATTCGCAAGCGCAACAGCCACAGTCTTCTTCTCGTTCGTTTGACCAAGCGTCGAAGCAACCCAGCCCATCCCGATATTATTGACGCCGTACGTGGCGCCGACGAACAGCACCATAGCGAAGTATCGCCCGCCTGTGTTCAATGTCCCCCACGCAACGGCGAAGCCGATTATGGCGAGCGCTTTCGAGATCGTGATGTGCCACGTGCGCTCGTTGTACCGTCCCGATGACCAGGACACGGCAATCGACGCAAATGTCGCTACCAGATACGGGGGACATGTTAGGAAAAGCGTGACGTTCGTGCTGAAGCCCAGCGTCTTGACAGCAGTCGGCATGAAGTTCTTAAACCCATTCGCAGACAGATGCAAGTTGATCATCAGGCAGAACAACCAAGTGCGGTAATCAGTAACTGCTTCCCACAGCCCCGTCATCGTGCTCGTCCCCGCCCGGCGTTCAGTGATATCGCGCTCGATACGCGCGTGTGCTAGCTGGCGCTGTGCCGGCGTGAGCCACCACGTATCCAGGGGCGCATTGGGCAGGAGGAATATCCCCACTATGGCGACGAAGATGGTGATTACGCCTTGGATTAGGAATAGCCATCTCCAGCCCTCCCAGCCATGCACGCCGTCTAGACCGGAGAACACGCCTGCGGATATGAGCCCGGAGAAGGCGCTGGCTAGCATGTTGCCGGTGTAGAAAATTGACATTCGCGTGGCTACCTCTTTGCGTGTGTAGAATTGACTGATCATGTAAAGCGCGCCGGGGTAGAACTGAACAGTATGTTAGCGGAGTCTTCGTATAGTTGCACTTTGGCTGAACTTACTGGTGCTTCCACGACTCCGAGGAGGAAACGCACAGCGAGCATGCCGTGGTAGTCTTTGACGAGGCAACTCAAGGTAGACACAAGAGCCCACGCCATCATGAAGCCTGGAGATATAATTAGCATGAACACACCAGAGATTGAGTGTATGGTATTATGGAGGGTGACAAACCTCCCATGAACCACGCTGGCTTGACTCTGTTGAGAATCATATTCGACGGCACCTGTCCCAACAGATACCCCACGAAAAGAATCGAAACAAGAGTATTGTACTGCGTTCCTTTGAGCTTCAGATCTTTATCCATCCCATTCAGCTTGGCATTAACCATCGCATTCCTATCGAGGAAGTTCAGGAAGTACATGACCCATAGAATGGGCTGCCCAAACACAACACAATGATTAGCTACAACCTCTCTCTATCTCTCTCTCATAGATGGAGAACTTTCGCTTTGCTGGATGAATACGGCACGACTTACCATCATGATCAAGTCTATCTTCCGCACAAGAGCGATCTCAAGCGGGTCCGTCTTCGCATACGCACCAAACCGATCCGCGCCCTCCCTCACCACAACCGGCTTCTCAGGATCCAGTATCGACGGTTCGCGTTTATGATCCACATGCTCAACTGCTTCCATGGTGGTTTTCTCGTCCATAACAGCACTGCCCATTGTAGCGTGAGCGCCAGTTGTTTGGAGATAAGGGTACGACAATATCTCAAGCCCAACCTTGTCAATCAATCAAGAGTCAAGACTTGAAATAAAGTGAACAACTGAACTGAAGTGAAGTATTCAAAAGCTACTCGTAAACGAAGGCCAAAAACTAGCTAGCTAGCCTTGAGATTGATTAGCTTTTGTAGAAGGAGTAATAGATGGATATATGGAATGTAATGTAAATTGTATGTCGGCTACGCAGGATATATACTTGGCATGCGAGTAGGGACCGTAGGTATATAATGCCAAGTTGGAAACCTACCTGCATCTCGCGCGCGTGGGGAAAGCTTGGCTCCCCATGGGGTATCGAGCTGCTGCTGGCCAAGCGCTCAGGCAACGTCCGGATACTTTTCCGTTACATTGATTCATACTGATGGGATGGATCACCAGGATGGCTTGGAATGGGATCATGGGCGGCTTTGGACTGGGAAAGCTAGCTACCCCGCACGCACCAGCATGCTGCTTAATCCTGGGGTGTTATGTTCTGTTTTCCGGGGTGGGTGCGAGTACCCCAGCTTTTCGAAATGTAACGTTTTGATTCGAGTAGACTGATAACTCGACATGTCGCATTCGGGTGTTTCTATCTTACTCGTATCATTTCTTCGGCTTGATGTGCGGGAGCGGTGAGTGAGTGCATGGTGAAGTGAGATTATCATGTGCCTGTTCTCGTTCCAGGGGAAGTAGGATCACAGTAGGGAGAAGGCTTGGCGGGGCGTCCCCGGAAATTGGCAGATTTAGTGCGTGGGGATGCTGTTTCCCCACAGTTCAATCCTAGTGAAGAACCGACAGGGTGGTACTTTTAAGCGGCCTCCAAAACATTATGTGATTTGAGAAGGTTAATACCTCTCTATCAATGGTTGCTATATAGCAATAGCCTTTGTATCATTTTGTAAACCTGTGAAGAGAATGGCCATATCATATCCATTGAGTCATACTCGTATTTACTTTTATAACCCTTGCGCAAGACCTTCTAGCAAGCAAAGAACCCCTTCAGCACCTGGGTCAGGGACAATAGCCCATGCCGTCTCTTCAACATAGACCGCTCTCCCAAACGCAGCTTTCATCCCTTTCGTAGCCTCTACCCCCGACTTTGCCTTTGCAACCGCCTTTTCCAGCCCCTCGCCACTTGCAAAACTCTCGATGAAAGGTTCCAGCGCATCCATCAGCGTTCGGTCGCCCTTTCTCGCGGGTGTCGCCAACTGTAGCTGTGACAGCGCTGCCTTGGCTGCATGACCCCATGTTTCGGAGTGAAGAGTATGAAGAGAAGATGACAGTATCCGTAGTGATGAAGCTAAGCCCGCGAAGAAGATACTGTAGATTGCACCAGATGTGCCATCCATGTTGTCTTCTATGATATTGGCGAGATGGAGCAGGGTGATGAGAGCATCCGGATTCACGTCTTTGGAGTCGAGAAAAGCCAGTACTGCTTCGGCCCCTCGCGCAAGAGTTGTCCCGCAATCCCCATCTCCAACAATGGTGTCCGAATGCGTTATACGCGGTTCGGCAGCAATAACGTTCTTGCAGGCCTGGGAGACTTTGCTTTTGAAAGCAGAAACGTCCACTGCGATATTTGTTAGTCTTGGCTAGACAAGCAGGTGCTCTGAACTTACATTTGAATCCGCTCTCGATTGTGACTTCCAGGGCTTTGGGTTCATTCAAGACAGAGACTTGGCGTGAGCTCTGGTTTTCCCATACAGAGGGAGCAAATGAAGGCCCACACCAACCGACTGCACTTGTTGGGGCATCAATATATTCGACTATTTCTGACGTAGCTTTAAGCAAAGTTATGCTAAAGCCCGGACCATCGAGACTGGTCATGAAAGTCCCCGAAAGAACTCTAGATATCGTGATATTGCGAAGTTCTGAAAGAATTGTTAGCATTATCGCTACCTGTATTCGTAGACAAAGCTTACTCAATGCTACCACAACACCTTTCGTGATCGCTCCCAGTTCTAGGACCGAAACGCCTCCAAGATTGTTCACAAGAAGCACAATCTCTTCCGCATCCTGCATATCCACAAAAGCACGATCTGGATCATTCATACTCAAAAGCTGGTCAAGCATCATTTCGATCAAAGAATGCAAATCAGGCTGGGGACTCAAAATCCGAGACCCAGATTCATTGTGAATACCCATACCAAGTTCGAGTTGTTCACTCTTTGGGTCAGAGAAGCCATTTGCAATTTCCCGACCTGGAATATGCACATGACCTAGTGAAGCTCCAACTGTGACCAGGTTGGAAGCCACGAGCCTTCCCATGCTGGTGAGTTCCTCAAAAGATACTGCTGGCTTCTTGTTCATCGCACCCAATATTTTGTTAACCAGGACAGTTCCCGCTAGGCCCCTCCTTCCAACCTTTCCGCTTTTCTCTCGGCCAACAGAGACATCATCACCGACCACGATAATCTCGACTTTCACTCCATAGTTTGCTCTAGCTTTCTCGGCAGCCAGATGGAAATGAAAAATGTCTCCTGTGTAGTTCATGATGACGAGAATGGTCCCCGCTTTCCCACCGACGCGGGCGATAGTATTGACGATTTGAGAGACATTTGGTGATGCAAAGATGGAGCCAGAGATGGCTGCTATCAGGAGCCCTTCACCTACATACCCGGAATGTGCTGGCTCATGGCCCGCACCGCCACCTGCAATCAAAGTGACATCGACTGCAGGATTGTGGTCTGCGAGGAATATTGCTATATATGGTCAGCTTTGCTCAGCCGTATGTTTATGAGAGTCACAAATACCCTTATTGATCTTATCAAACCGCAAAGTAGGATTGGTAAGTGTCAAGCTCTCTAGAGAGTCCAAAACGAGATTTTCTGCGTCATGGGTGAAGTGTCTAGTCGACATTATACTGATTATTACCGGAAGTAGCTTAAGTGTCTGTGGCCTTTGAAAAGTGGAACAACTGCCCCTTAGGGGATGATAGTCATTGATATGGACTTCACTATGGGTACAGTGTACGGAGGAGGAAGCCGGATGATTCATGGCATTCAAAGGCCTGTGAGACAGTCGACTATCCGGTATGGCCCCGCACTCGGTCTTTTCCGGTCCTCGGGGCCTAGTGACTTTTTCTGGCCCAATTCACAGCATCGCATCCCAAAATCCGTCAGCAGGATAATGCATAGGCTTGGTCAATCAGCTTGGCAACACCCCCCCTACACCAGTTCCGGTATTCTCATCCCAAGGTCGATTAGGATCGCCCATAAACATAAAATCGAGCCCACCTACTCCGGCGGTTACCTGTAGATATCAGCTCAGCAGATGAAAAGCATTGTCCAATTGAATTACCAATGAATCAAACTCTCCCCAACTGGTCAAGTCCGCCATAAGACTTGATGGGGTCGTCGCATTCTGAGCGCCACCAAACATTGTTCCGTCCGAGATATCCGGGAATAAATCGCCAGCGACGGCAGACCCAGGTAGTGGCGGCTGATTTGCACTATTCATTTGACCTGAATATGTTGATGCCTGAAAAACTGTTGAATCCCGTTGAAGTGTTGACGCCATATCCGAGTTGCCATTTTGTGACTCTACTTGCTGTTGTGTTTGCTTCACCGCTTCGAGTCGCAATTCTTCAAGTACAACACTATATCTCTGAGCCAGAGATTCGTTCTCGGCCATCGATGATATTTGAGTCTGGCACTTCTTTGCAGCATCTATGTAGGACTGGTATTTATCTTGTGGGGTATGTCGTTGTTGAATTGCGTACACGTAAAGTACAACAACAGCACAGAATGCGAAATAATGAGTAAACTGGTAAAGTTAGCTGAAGGTTTCGTCGGTCAGGTGAAATACATAGCATACCCAGAATGCACGATATATTTGCTGTCCCTCAGTTAAATCATTCACGATAGCAGCAATATGCATTGCTGCAGTGAGGCATTCACCAACGTTTTTGTCCATATCTGGCGTTCCGGGTGCTCCTCGAGGACGTGAATTTCTGCTATTTAGACTTGCAAAATTGCTCAAAAGAAAAGGCCGGTGGACCAGAATTAGTGCATGGTAATAAGCAAGATTCAAGACATTACGTTGGCGCTGAAAAAGTGGGATGAGTAACGAGGTATCAACACCTTCATCCAAAAATCTAGAGAGCCCTTTGCGCCAATGAAGTAAATCCTCGGAATACTTCGTACTTAATGTAACCCGAACGTGTAAGGAAGGGGGTTTAATGGGGTAGAGATCGCGTAGGATGTGACTGATGATTTTCGCAAGTCTGTATGTTGCGTCAGACGAATGCTATGAGTTGAAGAAAGGAACTCACGTGTTATGAGCAACAGATGCCATCATTATAGACTGAGATCTTGTGTTACCGATGTTGATATGTTGTGGGGTGAGGTCTGAATCGTTCACAATCATCGGAAGGTCCTAATTTAGTATCATTAATAACTTTGAGCATTAAATTCAGGGAGCACCCACTTGGTCAATATCGTCGTCGTGAAATGTACGTGGTCTCCCAAGAGCAGCACTTAGATAGTTGTCGAGACCGTAAGCACACCAGAATACTCGCTTTCGACATTCAAGCTCCACTAGATCTATCCCATTGGAATTTTCCATGCGTCGTTTTCGATGTATCCCAATCGCAAGTAAAAGGTGGGCAGTGGTGCCGAAAAGACTCCAGCAATGGTTAACGCGCGACTGGGATAATAGATAGAAACATTGACATAGTCGTGCTTGGACACTTGTCAAACGAATCTCGCCTGTCTCAGATGCGAGCTGATGATCAGCAGCTTGAAAATATCGAGCACTGCCTTAATCAGCCTCAATTTCTTGTGAAATGTCGGTCATTGCTTACCTGGTATCTACACTGTTTGACACTGAAGCATCTGGCATATACTCCTTTGCCTGGGCAAAGACCATGAAGAGCAGAGCTGTCTTCTCTTTGGCACCGACCTTTTGTCGCATCACCCCAAGGTTTTCGTAGAATTCTTCCAGCCACGCTTCAACAGTGGGACGATGGAGAAATCGATGTGTTGCTACTGCAAATTCAAAATACCTTGCCACAAGCCTCCGAGCATCGGCTTTTGGTGGAAGGACAAAAAGCGACGAATCAAATTCTGGCAATGGAGCATCTCCAAATGTGAAGATGGAAGAATTTTGAGTAAAGGATATTTTCTCGTGTAGTTTCTTTTGAATTCTCAGGAGGAACGAGACGCCAGATGACGGACCAACATAATGCCCCTGGAGATCCGTTTGTGACGGCTCGGGTGAGTTGCGAGATGATTGACCTCTCGATTCTACATGCTGAGCTCTGGGGAGGTGCAGGTGGGCTGTATCCCTTGTGCTCTCACGATACTGAGCTTGCACTAGCTGATCGCTAATCGGACTTGGCAGCGAGTTCATCTCATGAGGCTCTCGCTGGGTCTGAATTGGTACTTCAGGGGGCCTAGCAATGGTCGCCATGCTTACAGGACCTATGGCTTCAGGTTGGTCGGTCCCTTCGGGGAAAATGGATGGAACACGGCCCCGTGTGTATGCAGCGGTAAATTCACAATTCTTTCCGGAGTGGGTGCAAAGAGTACATGGTTGTCTCCCACTGCATCGAGTCTTTTTCCTATCATGACAGTTAGCGCCTATTCAGCCAGCCGGTCTCCGTGGAATAGAATAGAACATATCCCTACTTCTTGCATCGATCACACGCTCGGGTTGCACGCGAGCGCTCCGCTTCATCCCTTTTCTGACGTTTAGCAGACGGCGGTTGCGATGCATTTCTACCCTCATTCATAATCGGCGAAGAGGCTTGCTGTAACGTATCAGGGTCATCCGCCATGGTCGCAGTTTGCTGAGTTGAGAGTATAAACGGTGAAGGTCGAAACGTTCGGATAAGCGCAAAGTGTTACACGCACACCAGTTAATTCACTTCCCACGCACTGATGGTAGGGCAATGCGGGGTAGATGCCTGCCAATACTGTATTTATTCACATTAAAAGTTTCACTCCAAAGTAGATCAAGACATCGAGTGTGCAATATTTACTGGGTGATCTAATAGTCATATTCATGGTTCATCTTATTACCACTCTCTCACTTCTCCGCCAGGTCCAATAAAACCCGGACTTACCCAAGCTTTGGCATCCTTTGAGAACTTTCGCACCTGCTCTTCGTCCACCTCAATCCCTAGTCCAGGCCCCTTCATCAAATCAATATAACCACCAGTGACCTTCCAAACTTCCGGGTTGTGCGTGTAGCTAGTCAAATCCTGACTTCCAGCATTGTAATGTATTCCGAGACTCATCTCCTGGATAACAAAGTTAGGAGTTGCAGCAGCAATTTGGACATTTGCAGCTAGAGCTATTGGTCCAAGTGGGCAATGAGGTGCCAGTGCTACGTCGTAGGTCTCAGCCATGGCGGCAATCCTACGCATCTCAGAAATGCCTCCACAATGACTGATATCTGGTTGCAAAATGTCCACTGCTCCTGACTCCAAAAACGGGCGGATTTCCCATCGGCTGTGCAGACGCTCGCCAAGAGCAATTGGTGAGGTGGTCAATTGTGAGAGTGCTTTAATGGCATCGGGATGCTCTGATAACAAGGGTTCCTCGATGAACAAGGGACGGTGTGGTTCAAGTGCTTTTGCGAGCTGTTTCGCCATTGGCTTGTGCACCCGTCCGTGGAAATCGATGCCCGCGTCCATACCAAGAGCCTTGACGGCTTTTAACCTCTCAACGCAGTCGTCCAGAGCAGATGGAGAGTCTAACCAGCCCAAATCCTCGGTTCCGTTCATTTTTATGGAAGTGAAGCCTTGAGCTTTCCTCGCTTCGCTATTTCGAGTCAGCACGCAACTTGCGGGAAAGATGATAAACTGACGCTTGGGCTGCAATATCCGAGGGCCGGTCTCCTCCGATCCAGGCGTAGACCTTTATTTTGTCTCTGACTTTACCACCGAGCAGCTGATATATCGGGACACCCAACTTCCTGGCTGTACACAACTTTAGCAAGAAGGAAACTATTTTACCATGAAGCCATACCTTTTAGATCCCATAATGCAATGTCAATTCCGGCCAAAGCACTCATAAGAACTGGGCCGCCTCTATAGAAACCAATCCTATAGGAAGTTTGCCAGATGTGCTCGATGTCGCTGCAACTACTATCAGCAGCATATACGGGGACCAGGTATCCAAAACAACTCACTCGGCATCCATTCCCGTATAACGTTCAATATATGCATCTAAGCAGCCTTCCACAGCATTCGTATGACCTTCTAAAGATGCTTCACCCCACCCTACGTTTCCGGCATCATCAGTAATCTTGACGAACAACCACCGTGGTGGAACACGAAAGTATTCGATCTGTGCTATTTTTGGCATTTTGTATTGCTGATAGGGAATGTCACCTTGTCTGATGATCAGTATCGCAGACCTCTATGTTCATGTCTTATATGACGGGGGAAAAGGTTGAAGTTCGGATGTAGATCTCCCGCTAGGCCGAGACTGGTCGGATAACTTGCCTTGAATTGCATATGGCAGTTGACACCGGAAGCTATAGTAAGTGGGGGTGGGGTTCCGGTTTATGGAGAGAGCTTGGAAACATGAATATTGGAGAACATGGAGCTTCGGAAGCGAGACGGATTACGGGTCACTGCACGCGGGGCGTGTTTGGGGGAGGGTGGAGAAAGCTGACGCCAGAGTTGTTTGATTGTTGAGCAAGGGAACGTGAATTTTAAGCTACATTGTTTAAGTGGCAAGTACATTGTTTTAAGAAGTAGCTTTCAACTTTCGCTGGGCCGCTTTCCAGTCCTCCACACTTTTCTTCAAGCTCTCCGGTCCTACTTCACCAAAGATATCGACACCTAATCGGGCCGGGAAGTTATACCTAGTATGGCTATCTAGTGCCGTGATCTTGTCAAAGACATCTTTTGGAAGCTCGAATTCTAACGGTTGAGTAAGAAAAATAGCCAGCTAGAATAATCACATGGGGTTTTACCTTCAAGATTGTCCTTGATTCTCGATGCTGTGACACTTTTGGGGAGCACAACAGTGCCGCGCTGAACAGCCCAATTGATCAAGAGTTGAGCTGGCTGCCTGTTTAGATCCTTGGCGAGAGCAATGACGGTGGGATCATCCACTGCTCGTGGAAGGTTGTAGATATTGTTCCCGAGTGGACTGTACGCTGCTACGACTATGCCTTTCTGTTTCGACCATTCCAACAGCTTCGGTTGCTGCAAGTACGCATGCGCCTCAATCTGATTGACCGCAGGCGGGATGGCTGCTCTTGTTGGGCATCAGAACAGCTCAGAAAGTTACAGGAATTGAACTCACGTTTGTAGAAGGGTCTCGATCTTCTCTTGTGTGAAATTACTGACACCAATGCTTCGAACTTTGCCTTTCTTGACAAGAGCTTCCATAGCTTTCCATGTATCAGCTATTGGCACATCGATGACGGAAATTTGCTCGGTGGTTGGATCGACTGGGAATCGTTCGGTGGACTTGGGGAACGCAACAGGCCAATGGATCTTCAACAGTCAATTCTGGTCGCATCGGCCAAGGGGGGGTTCCTCACAAGATATAAGTCAACATAATCGGTTTGGAGGTCTTTCAAGGTTGCGTCAAGAGCTGGTTCAACATCCTCTGGCTTGTGATCGGTATTCCAAAGCTTTCCAGTGATCTATTCGTCTCAGCGAGTGAAATTGTTGCCGCAAATTATCGCAACGCTTACAAATATTGACTCTCGCTCCACTCCTGAAGCTTTGATTCCATCTCCCACTTCTGCTTCATTCCCATACACTGCTGCTGCGTCGATATGGCGATAACCGAGTTTTAGTGCCGCCGCTACAGCTTCCTTGACCTCGTTCGGTTTTGATTGCTACAAGTAAAAAAAAGTCAGTCGCGAGGAAATTCAACTAAATCTCGCTTTACTTCAAAGCGCTCCAATCGATGAAACATAACAAATTGTCCTGCATTCTGGGTGCTAAGATTCTCAGAAGCTCGTGGAACTGACCCATGTGCCCAATCCAACAGCGGGGATGCTATGCCCCGAATTTAGCTTAAACGAACGATTCGATGCCATTATTGCGATGGTTGATTTAGAATCTTGAATCTGAGCACCAATTTTGGATTAAGAAGATACTTTTAATGAAATACTAAACGCTATCGGCCGTCACTGACGCGATTCCTGGCAACTTATCCGATAGCGTACAGGCTTTTCCGTACCCCGCATTCACAGTTGATAGTGGGGGTAATACAGGGTTATCTGAATAAAAGGTCTATTACGCTGCGTTGAATCTTCAAGACTGCGCACTTTCATCAATTTTCAAGAAAAGTATGTTGTTGTAGACGCGACAAACTCTAGACACGATACTGACATCTGCCGTAGTGACTAATTCCAGTGCTGTTCCGCCGCCGCTCGGGGTTTATGTACCAACGGTTACTTTCTTTCAATCGTCTACATCTCCTGGAGCACGACAAGCCCCCCTGGATATCGAAACACAAGTCCAACACAGCGTCCATCTGGCCAAGAATGGCGTTCGGGGTCTGGTGCTATTAGGAAGCACTGGCGAAGCCATCCATCTTTCCCGCGCTGAACGATCCGAGCTCATATCTGGAGTTCGCAAAGGGCTCACAGATGCCGGCTTTATCGACTACCCTATCATGGCTGGGGTCCTGACGAACTCGGTAGACGATGCTCTCGAATGGCTTGAAGATGTAGCCAAAGCTGGAGCTCAGTGGGGCCTTGTGCTTGTTCCTGGGTATTTCGGTGGGGCTGCAAACCAGGAGAACCTGAAGGAGTGGTACAGATTGGTCGCAGATTCAAGCCCGATTCCGATACTTATGTAGGGGTTTTCTTGTGCCTTGTATAATCATTCACATTGCTAATTGATCGACCATCAAGATACAACTATCCAGGAGTCACGAATAACATTATGGTCAGCCTCGAGACTTACACCGAACTCGCGGCCCACCCTAACATTGTTGGCTGCAAAATGTCCCACGGAAACGTCTCGCATCACTTGCAAGTCTCTTTGGACCCAGCCATCGACCACGAAAACTTCCGTGTATACAGTGGATTTGGACAACAGCTAGGCCCAATCGTCTTGTTTGGAGCGGCAGGCGTTATTGATGGTCTCGCTGCGATATACCCCGCTACGGTATCACGGCTTTTCGAGCTCTCCATAAAGCGCCCTGTCGAGCCAGATAACTTGAAGGAAATACAAAGGTTACAATTTATTGTCAGTCGGGCTGAAGAGTTTGTAGGAAAGTGGGGAATAGTTGGAATCAAGGAGGGCGTATATCAGGTTTTGAAGATGGGAAACTTGCAAGGTGGAAGGTTGCCTTTGAAGGGACGTATTCCAGAGGGGGAGTGGGAAGCATGGAGTGTTGCTACAAATGCAATGAAGGAGAATGAGGTGGTTTTAGAAAAGAAGTAGACGAACACTTGGCATCTTCGACTCTTTCTTGCTTCTTGCTTGTGACAAATTCAGTAGCCATAAAAACCCGTGACACCGTAGAGTAAGCTCGAACAGTAGACGGATTGTTGGTATCAACGTTAGTCAGCTGATACCGTGGGCATAACCAACACGCGTCACGTAAACACAGTATGTATAGGCAGGTATGCTCTTAATCATGAAAAGAGCCGGAACTAGCATCCGGATAGAACAGGTATCCGCGTTGGGGTCATGTGATCCGGAAGCACTACGAGTAGTGGTTTTCCGCATTTCGGTTGCGTTTTCCGGGCTGTATTTTCCCACTCCTTGACCCCAATCCACAACAGCAGGTCGCTCTTTGACAACCCTGCAGCACGGCATAATAGGATGACGTGGACTACAGAACAGTGGAAAAGCACAGAGTAGGCTGTCACCGAAAGAACTCGTGATGAGGCGTTCTAGTCGATCCGGAGACACCGGACGCAGTGTGAATCGGGATCCGTAGAAGAGGTAACTTCTGTTGACAAGTGTCTTGACGTATCGCCCTTTCTTGGCAGGATAGAACATGTATTTGTCCGAAGCTTCTACCTTCGTGTGAATTGATCTTTGCGTTTGTTAAGTGACTACCTCTTATTTTCAATTTCAGGACCATGATTCAAACCATAATTTCAACCGTTGAGGCGAAAGTCATGCCAAAGCTACCAACCTTAGTAAAGGTTACTGAACATGTGGATTCGCCTGCCTCTATCAACAAGCACGAGGACGTGGTTTATACGATCAATGACCTCCTTCTCGAGCGAGCGAGGACGATACCCGAAGAGCCTCTCGTGGGGTACCCCGCATCAACGCGGGGTACGGACGACTATGTGTATTACAACGCCAAAGATCTAAACCGATTTGCGAACGCGGCTGCGAAAAGCTTGAATGATCAGGGGCTGCCGATAAATGTAGGTTTATTTCATTCTTTGCTCCAAACCCATTTAGTAAATACCAACTGACGACTACTTGTAGAGTTCCGAGACTGGCAACAAGATTGTAGCCCTGCTCGGTCCGTCAAATCTGGACTATGTCACCTCAATATTTGCCTTAACTCGTATGGGATACGGCGTGCTTCTCCTCTCGACACGACTAGCTACGGATGCATATGTTTCGCTTCTAGAGAAAACAGGTTGTGTCAATATACTGGGCTCTCCCAGTACTGCCAAATCAATAGCTGCGATACAGGAAGTGCGGGAATGTCATTCCTTCTCGATTCCAGAAAGGTCTAGCTATGACATCTCGGGTTCCGTCAACCCATTTTCAGCACCGGCCACGACATCTACGGCATCAGATAAGATCGCATTTGTTATTCATTCATCGGGATCCACAGGACTGCCCAAACCCATCTTCCAAACCCACAAAGCATGTCTGTCGAATTACGCCAACGGCAGTAGCTATCGAGCATTCTTGACTCTACCTCTCTACCACAATCACGGCATCTCGACATTCTTTCGGGCCATTTGCAAGGGCAAGCCCATTTCCCTGTACAATGCAAGCCTGCCCCTTTCGGAGACGAATTTAATCAAGGCAATGGAGGCTGTGCAACCAGAAAGCTTTCACGGCGTCCCATATGCCTTGAAACTACTGAGCGAATCAGAACGGGGGATTGAAACATTACGAAAATGTAAATTGGTTCTCTTCGGAGGCAGTAGCTGCCCTGATGATCTTGGAGACAAGTTGGTAAATGCTGGAGTATATATTGTTTCCCACTATGGGGCGTAAGTTTGCGAATCCCGATATTTGGTATATTACTTACTTTCATGTAGTACCGAAATGGGCCAGTTGATGACTTCCTATCGTGATCAAGATGACAAAGCCTGGAATTTCTTACGGCCATTACCGTCAATAGCTCGATTCCTGCAAATGGATCCCCAGGGAGATGACTCTTATGAGTGCATATGTCTGGACGGGCTTCCCGCAAAAGTCACCTCCAACTCTTCAGATCCACCAAACTCTTTCCGAACCAGCGATACCTTCTTACCACACCCAACAATTCCAAATGCATGGAAATACCTTGGTCGAATCGACGACCGGGTCACGCTAGTCAACGGCGAGAAAGTGCTTCCAGTTCCATTTGAGCATCAAGTTCGACAGAATGAGTATGTGAGAGAAGCACTGATTTTTGGGATTGGAAGAGCATTTCCCGGTATCCTCATCGTGCCTAGTGAGAAAGCCATCGGTATGAGCAAAGCGGAGATCTTCGAAAAAGCATGGCCCAGTATTGTACTTGCCAATACCAAAGCCGAGGCTTTCAGCCAGATACAGGAAGAAATGGTTGAGATTTTGGAACCTTGTGCCGACTATCCTGCTACAGATAAAGGCACCATGATCAGACTCGCTTCGTATCGCAAGTTTGCGGACGTGATAGATGCAGTGTATGATCGATTTGAAAATGGTGTTGTTGCTGAGATTGGAAATAAACTGAGTCTGAATTTTGATGAACTCAAAGCATACCTCCTACGACTCTTCTCTACTGAATTGCACCTCGCAGATCTGGCAGAGAGTACAGATTTCTTCGATGCCGGAGTGGACAGTCTACAGGCTATCAAAGCTCGATCATTCCTAAAACGGGAGCTGGACTTGGGAAATTCTGATTTAGATCAAAATGTCGTATTCGAGCATCCTAGCGTTGAGAAGCTGGCAGCACATCTCTTTGCTCTCCGGACCGGCGAGGAGTTGGAGCTGGAAGATGAGATTCACGCAATGTCACAACTCATTGAGAAATATTCATCGTTTGAAGGCCACCTACAACCACAGCAAGAAGTCATCATCCTCACGGGAACTACCGGTTCACTCGGCGCTCATATTCTTGCACAGTTGTTGCAAAATGACAACGTCAGGAAGATATATTGCTTGGTACGGGCTAGTACACCCGAAGCTGCTCTCGATCGCATTCTCTCCACTTTGGCAGCCAAGCAACTGCCTTTCAAGAACATAAGCAAGGTCGTCGCACTACCCGCATCTCTCGACCGCGCGGATCTCGGCTTAGATGCTACCATCTTGAACGAAGTAAAACAAGACCTTACTAAAGTGATCCATAGCGCCTGGGCCGTCAATTTCAACCTCCAAATCCGTAGCTTTGAAAAGCAGCATATCCAAGGTGTTTCGAATCTCCTGAACCTGTGTCTCTCCATCAGAGGTTCCACGCCCGCACAGTTCTTCTTCTGTTCCTCCATCTCGGCAGCTGCCGGAACGCCGCTCCCAGCCACAATATCCGAAGCACCTATTCCGCAGCTGGAAAATGCTCAGAATATGGGATACGCAAGGTCAAAGCTGGTTGCTGAGCGCATTATTGAATCGGCTGCGAAAAATACCGGCATGGTTGCTAAAGTGCTGAGGGTTGGGCAGATTGTTGGTGATAGTGCTGTGGGCATATGGAACACTACTGAAGCTATCCCGCTCATGATCCAAAGCGCAGTGACAATGGGTGCTTTGCCTGCGCTTGACGAGGTAAGTCAAAATCGCCACTCACCCCCTTATTATCAAAATTCTGTTCACTCTGATTAATTATCCCAGACTCCCTCATGGCTCCCCGTCGACATCGTCGCACGCACCGTTCTAGACATCACGAAAATCAACTCCACTAAATGCGGATCATCATCATCATCCTCAACATCTGAGCTCCACAACCCATCCATAATCTACAATCTCCAGAACCCGTCAACCTTCCACTGGACCACCGATTTCCTCCCCGCTCTCCGAGACGCAGGCCTCGAGTTCGACATCGTGCCTCAACGCGAATGGGTGCAGCGGCTACGAGACAGCGACCCGGACCCGGCGACCAACCCGACGAGAAAGCTGCTGGATTTCTTTGCGGAGAAATACGATAATGAGAAGATGGGTCGCAAGGGCCTTGTGTTCGCTACTGAGAAGACGGAGAAGGCGAGTGAGACTCTTAGGGGTGGTTTTGATGTCATTGGCTCTGGACTGGTGCGGAAAATGGTGCAGCAGTGGTTGAAGGTATGGTGAAGTATGATGAGATAGATGATACCGCAATTTTTCTTTTCTTTTCAGGGGGTAAATTGGGAACGGTGAAAGCCTTTTTTCTATAACAGGCAAGACAGTTAAGTAGAATGCAAATGTTTATGCAGAAATGTAGGCAGTGTTGCTGTGATATAAGGTGGGTATAAAGTTTACGATGTGGGCTGTCTTTTTGATCATAAGTCTAGGCTAAATAAGCTACGATGCTTTCATTGAACGTCTTATATAGTACAAGCTTGAGACAATGGACGCGCTGAGGAGTTCCGGACGATGGCTGAGCCGATGAATCCTGATGCTCCGGTGACGAAGATGCGCATTGTTTATGGGGGAGGGGGGTAGTATAGTTAAAAGGGGACTTGGAGTTTGAGATGTGAAGGGATGATATCAATTATTCGGGTTTGAAAATGAGGAGATATTGAGGGAGACTTTGGCAGAGCCACATGTTGCACTTTATATGCATTTTCTTGACATCAGACTTTCTCCCGTCTTATATAGTAGACCTTACCTGCACGGCAAATTCTTAACGCGGGGTTTGTGTGCTCCGTTCCGTAACTCTACTTAAGTGGTGCTGTAGTTATTAGTGAGGTTGCCAGATGACTTGAAGTGAGCTTAGTACAGATACGACTTGAGGTTAGCTCTAAACTATATCTATAGGTAGGTCTATACAGATACGAGCATAAACTATCGTCAATATGATATATAATCAATTAATACATAGTAAGCTGAGAGTAGAGGCGACAATGTAAGTTTACCGAAAAGGTAAGAAATACGAATAGGAGAGCACGGTTTTTAAGCGAATGAAAAGGGGTAGAGCTTTCGCTTATAGGATTTCTCCTCCCCAACCCAGTATGTGGCGTTTTTAGCTTACGCGTACTCCACATCGATTGATCCCCCCCCCATCTCGCGAACAGGGATCTATTTCGATGGGACTTGGGTAAGGGCGGCTTCCTTGTTGTGGCTTGGCTGTCCTGTCTCTTCCTCCATAGTAGTGATCATGACGTCACATCATCTCGTCCCTTACTTATACTTAGAGCCACACACACTTCTTAACAACTAACTACAACAACTTCATACCCTCAATTCAATCAAAGACTTCCCATCAAAACAAAACAAAAGAAAACACCCCCAAATCCCCAATCCATCCCACCCATCAGCCAATTATGTCATCATCAAACAACAACAAAAGCGGAGTTTCCTCAGGTCTAAACTGGGT